TTGGTTGCTATATGAAAAGTTCCTTACCAAAGGGTGAGAGTACCAACGTTTGACAACTTACATTTGAGAGTTAAAGCACCAAAGATGAGAACAAGAACCATCCCAGCAGAAATCCCTGCTCCAATGTAGATGGCTATTTGTGCGGTCACTGCAGAGTGTTGTAACTCATTAGCCAATGTGAATTTTTGCTATGAAAACACAAACAGAAGTTAAGCAGTAAATGACCAGGAATTGGGTGTGTACTCAGCTAGTCTTATGACTTATGAATCAGACCATCCCTTTCACAGCGCCACATGAGTTCAGGGACCTTGAAACCATTCTTAATCTGCTCCTTTTTTTTGGACAAGCCTCAAACCATCTCAAAGAGATTGGCTTAATCTTTGGGGTTAGGAAGGAAATTAAATGTGCCCTTCTGTGCAGCAGAAGGAGAAAGAGCTCTTATAAACAGACTCTCCTCTTCCACCAACCTCTGCAAGAAAAATGGGCTCTAGAATGGAGTAAGGGCCCCTGGTGTTGTGCAGGCAACTTCAGAATGATCTAAATTTGGTGTCTTGCAATAAAATCCATATTTTCTCAGCAGCACTGTCCTAGGTTCAAATTCTAGCTCTGTCACCAAGAGCTGAGTGACTTTCTAAAATTATTATGAGAATTAAGTGACAAAAATATAAAGTGTTTATCACAGGGCGTAGTATGTGGTAAACGCCCAGTCAATAGCACCTGCTATTGCTACTGCTCTAATTAATTTGATTTTCTGATAATTGTGTATCACTTAGAAATTCTTGCTCTTTAAAAATTATCAGCTCATGTTCCTCTTTTAGAAACAGTAATAGTAAACACTTTTAAAACATAGGAATCAAGGAAATTAAATCCCCACATCTATTTATACACATTTATTGTGGGAACATTATATGCAAACTATTGTATATTGAGCATGTGGGAAACAAAGGTAGTTATGAGTCAGTCCTTGATCCAAAGAAGCTGATAGATAAACAAAATGCTGAGGTCGGTTGTAAATACACAAACATGAAATTGAATCAAATACTGACTGACTCCTAGAAAGGTCCTCAAATATTTTTTTATGTCACTAATGCAAACTTGGGAGCTCTGGTGATGTAGTGCCTAAGGCATTAGACTGCTAACCAGAAGGCTGGTGGTTCAAATCTACCAGCCACTCCTCAGAAGGAAGGCTGGGCAATCTATTTCCATAGTGATACTGCCTTGGAAACCCAAGGAAGTGTCGTTATGAGTCGGATCCAACCTGATGGCAGTGAGTTTGGTTTGCTTTTAATGCAAACTTACTTTCTACTGGTTTTCCCTTTTTCTCTGACTGGGGTACAAGAAAATTGTGGTTAGTTGAAGTATTGCTTTATTTATATTTAGATATATAAATTCTTGGCTTAAAATATTCTTCAATAGTATTTGTAATAAATAAATTAAAAAATTTTTTATAAATCTTTCTCCCAGGCAGACTCATTAGGGCTTCAATGGAAGTGGGAAGAAACATATTCTAAGGAGTTGCTGAATCTTTGAATCCTCCATAGTGGTACACAGTTGTTAAAACTGAAAAGAGGAACAAAATGATAATGCTTTTTCTTCTTTTTCCTTTCTGCTTTTTAGTACTTACTATATGCCAGACCCTATTCTTGGCAATTTACCTAAATCAACGCCTCATTCTTCGCTTGAAACAGCCCTATGTAGTTAGAACCGATATCATCAACACTTCACAGCTGAAGAATATGAAGATAAGGTTAAGACACCTTCACAAGGAGAAAGTAGTTATAAAGAATGTTAAAGCCGTATTTTATTTTCTCCAAGTCGAGCACTATGTTAGTGCACAAATGGGGGAAAGAAGAAGAAGAAAAAGAAGAAAAGCTACTTACTGTTTGATTATGCTCATAGAGGTTCTCCCATGTCTGTGTCTCTGTTGCAAAATAAAGGGGAAAAACAGCCAATAAAACAGTGAAGAATTTCTTTCATCTTGATTAAACAAAACTAAGCATCTTAAAGATGCCTATAACCCTATTTGAAATTAATTCCTTTTAAATAAGGCAAGATATACAGAACACATCGACTTCTACACTCCATACAATGATTAGTTAGGAGACCAAAAAGTATTTACTGAACACTTACAGATTGACTTTAAGATGGCTATATAAATCATCTAGATAGTGAGCTCTACTACTTATGTTTTATGAAAGAGAGTTCTGCCAGGTCTATTTGTAAAAGGACATTATGGTTTATTTTGTTCACAAAGCTCCAATGGTGCTACAAAAATCCAGCAACACTGCCAACACTCAGGCATTATATTCTAATTAGGCTTTGAGAGACAACCAAATTAATTTGAAAAAAAAATTAATATATTCTCTTTAGAAGGGAGGCAGGGTATTTTTTTGCCTTAAAGAAAATGAAAATAATAACTACAGCTACAATTTACCATGAACCTGGCGTTGTGCTACACTTTTTAAGTGAAGAATTACATTTAATATTTAAGACAACTATCCCCAAATAGGAAATATTAACCCCATTATACAGATTAAGAAACTGAGAATTAGGGAATTTACCCAGGGCCACACACTTAGTGAATGACAGTTTAGATTCACATGGCACTAAGCACACACTGATAACTCTGCTGCCTTCAACAACCTTCACCTTTGTCACTACTACTGAAAAGAAGGCCACAACTGCTCAACTACAACTCATCATCTGCTCTTTTCATTCACACACCTAGTTCTTCATCTGCTTATCCATCCAATGAATACACACTAAGCCCTTACTCTGTGCCAACTATAGAAATGGGCACAGACCCTGACCTCACAGTCATTGCATTTCAAAAATCAAAACAGGTTGCCATCAAGTTGGTTCCAACTCATGGCAACCTCATATGTGTCAGAGTAACTGTTCTCCATAGCATTCTCTATGGTTGATGTTTCAGAAGTAAATTACTAGGCCTTTCTTTCAAGGTACCTCTGATAGACTCGAACCTCAGAACTTTTGGTTAGCAGCTGAATGTGTTAACTGTTTTTGCCCCAAGGATTCCACTCCAAAAATAAATGGGATGAAAAACAAACAAACAAACAAAAACAGGGTGTCAACTGTGGGGAAATGAAGCATGCTTACTCATTTTTATGGCTGCATCAGAGACTGAACTCCTTAAATGTCATAGTCACCTTCTGGAGGCCTAAATGTCTAAACCCTTTAATAGGTTTGAGTAAGCAGTGGTTTAACAGACTATCTTAATATACAAAGGCATTCCTTGGAAGGAAGACTGGGCAATCTACTGTAGAGATACTACCTCGGAAACCCAAGGAGTGGTTGCTATGAGTCAGATCCGACTCCATGGTAGTGAGTTTGTTTCCACCTAAAATTACTTTTTTAAAAAGGGTAAAATTTTATCTTCCACTTCATTCTTTTTATTATTATTATTTTAATTTGTTTGATTTAGGTGAGATTTTACATAGCAGAATCATTTTACATTCAACAGTTCATACGCATTTTGTTTCATGACACTGGTTACACTCCCCCAGTGTAACAGCTCACGTCCCACTTCCTCCTTGTGCTTTCCCTTTCCCTGTCCTTCTTGCCTATGCATTCCAGCCTCCCTACCTTCCTCCCTGCACAAATGCTGCCTTTCTGATTTCCCACGGCTGATGGTTCTAAGGAGCACATCTCCCTGGTGTAGGTGTTCAGCTCATAGGCCTGTCTATTGTTTGGCTGAGGGTTAAGTCCTAGGAGTGAGTTCAATTCCAAGTCTGAATGGTGGCTCAGAGCCATGGTCTTGGTAGTTTCTCCAGTCTCTATCACACCAGTTAGCCTAGTCTTTTTCATGATTTTGAGTTTTGTTCCACATTTACACTTACTGTTCCACTTATTACCCAAAGGGAATTTAAAGTATAGAAACCACACTGGTGGAACTGCTTATTAAACAGATTTTCAAATCCAGTTTCTGTTTCCCTGTAATTATTTTTTCTTTTTCTGAATTGTAAGACTGAGTTTTTTTTTTTTTTTTTTTTTACCTTCATTTTACTATGAAAATGATCAGTAAAATAGAGCACTACTGGATTGTTGTTGTTTTTGTTATGTGCCGTCGAGTCGACCCCGACTCATAGTAACCCCTCCTTGGGTTGCCGAGGCAGTATCACTACTGAAGTCGATTGCCCAACCTTCCTTCCGAGGAGTGGCTGGTGGGTTTGAACGGCCGGCCTTCTGGTTAGCAGTCAAGTGCCTTAGGCACTACGCTACCAGAGCTCCCACTACTGGATTAGTGTGACTTATTTTCACATAGATTTGGCCATCAAACAAGACGGGTGGGACAGCTGGAGGATTGTGCAATCTTCGTCCTCAAAAACTCAAGACTTGGCTGCCATGGAGGTGGCAGTGGGGGTGGAATACGAAAATCTTAAAATTATGTAAACTTTTACATGCATTTATCCAGCATTTCTTATGTGTCAGACACAGTACTTACCACTTCACATGTATACTCTAATCTTCAACCACAATAGGCGGTTGCTATTATTTTTCCCATCTTTCAGTTGAAGAAACTAAGTCTCAGAGGTACTTTTCCAAGATCACACAGCTATTAATTGGCAAAGCTGGGATGCAAATCAGTTCCAACTGCAGAGCTAAGAACCTACCCACAATCTATTCTCCCTCCTTTAGGTGAAAGAATGTGTGCATTTGTTCTGTGTTCAAGGTGGGCTTAAGAACTTCCAGAGTCCACGGAACTTTTACATTTTAAGGGTCAGTGCACTGCATATCAAACATATTAAATGCACCCAAACCAAAAACCAAACTCACTGCCATCGAGTCAGATCCAACTTAAAGCAACCCCTCCTTGGGTTTCTGAGGCAGTATCTCTACGGAAGTAGATTGCCCAATCTTCCTTCCGAGAAGTGGCTGGTGAGTTTGAACCACCAGCCTTCTGGTTACCAGTCAAATGCCTTAGGCACTATGCCATCACCCAGTCCCACATTAAATAAAAGGAATATATGTAAGAATTAACTTGAAGGTGACTAACTGATATATTACATATTATAGACATATTATTAAATATGCATTAATTTCATTTTTTCTTTTATTTGCCTATTTTGGAGCCATTGTATTTTGTTCTGTTTTGTTTCCTACCAATTTCAGAGACATTCTCAGGCTCTTGAACAGTTTAGAAATTTCATATTTTGCCTATATTCCTTGACGCAAGGAGCTCTGGTAGCATAGAGCCTAAGGCACTTGACTGCTAACCAGAAGGCTGGTGGTTCAAACCCACCAGCCACTTCTTGGAAGGAAGATGGGGTAATCTACTTCCGTAGTGATACTGCCTCGGAAACCCAAGGAGGGGTCGCTATGAGTCAGGTCTGACTCGATGGCACATAACAACAACAACAACCTTGATGCAAGAGATGGCTCCATCCTTGTATCCCCAGAGGAAAGGAACTAACAAGTAAAAACTTGAGGGAGACTTCTGTTCAAGGTCTGGAAAGCTATTTGTCTAATAAGGAAATGTACTGCCTTATAAGGAAGTGAACTCCTCATCACAGGAGGTGTGTGAGCATACAGTAAATGTCCACTTGGTGGTGATGCCGTAAGTAGTGTGGAATTAAATGATCCTTGAAGTCTCTTCTAGGTTTATGGTTGTAATAGTCTCTAAATTATAGCAAGGACATATAATAAGCATCGCTATAACTTGAAAAAAGTCCATAGGTGGCAAAAACGGTTTGCACTTGACTACCAACCTTACTCTTGGCAGTTCAAACCCACCCAGCAGTTCTGCAGAAGGCTGAGTGGTCTGCTTCTGTTAAGATTACCACTTAAAACCCTATGGAGCAGTTCTACTCTGTAACATATGGGGTCATCATGAGTTAGAATTGACTCAACAACATCGGATTTGGTTTTTTGGGTATGACTTGATTAGCCCACAGCATGAGTTATCATCAGTTCCTACTATATTTACTAACTAATTGCATCCGAGGGAGCTCTGATAGCGTAGTGCCTAAGGCACTTGACTGCTAATCAGAAGGCTGGCAGTTGAAACCCACCAGCTACTCCTCGGAAGGAAGATGGGGCAATCTACTTCCGTAGTGATACTGCCTCAGAAATCCAAGGAGGGGTCGCTATGAGTCGGGTCCGACTCGAAGGCACATAACAACAACAATTGCATCCAAGACCTTGGCTACCAAACACTAAAGAACAACCAAACACTGGACATTAACTACAGTTCATAACTATAATAATACGGGCTAATATTTGAATGTTTTCTACAGGCCAGGTATTATGCTGAGTGCTTTATATGCATTATCACTTTTAATCTTATAACAACCCTACAAAGTACACACTGTAATTACCCTCATCACAGAGATGAGAAAACTAAATCTCAGAGTCTGCACAACTTCACTGACTTCACGTAGCTAATAAGAAGAACTGGAATTAGTATCCATTCTGCCTGTCACTGAAGTCCTTAACCACAGTCTCATTCTGCCTCTTGAGTTTACTGATGATGTTAATGATAAGGGCTAACATATATTGAGTACTTACTATGATCAGATTCTGAGCTAAATAACTTAGGCACACTTTCTTATTTAAGTGCATTAGAAATCTTAAGAGGTGGGGATTACCTATTATTAACCTCACTTTACAGAACAAAAACCAAGCTCCAGAGAGTTCAAGAGAGACCAAGACAGACAGAAAATACTTGAAATGAACCTCCTTGATTAATGTGATCCAAAGTCTGCCCCCTGTGCTCTGTTTTTCTCTTCCAGAGCTGAATGGGAAAGTCCTTGCTGAATTACATGAAGAATTTAGCTTCTCCTTCTCAGGTTGAAATCCAAGGAAGCTAATAGATTTTATTTCAGTTATAAGAAATTCTGGAAATCATCTAACCCAGTATACTAGTCCCCAAAAGGCCCATCCTTGGCATAAGTCCAATTCATGATGAAGCATCATCAGTCCAGGAGTGAATCAGAAAAATTACAACAATGTAATGAGCTTTTCATTAGATTAATTTCATTATATATATATATATATATATATATATATATATATATATATATGTATATATATATAATGGAATAATGGCAAGATAGATACCAAAACCAAACTCATTGCTGTCAAGTTGATTCTGACTTTATGGTGAACCCATGTGTTACAGAGGAGAATTGCTACCTAGGGTTTTATTTTGGCTATAATCACTGGGTAGGTTTGAACTGCCAATCCTTAGGTTAGTAGAAAAGCATAAGTTAAATAGAAGGTTCATTTTAGCTTTATGTTTTTCCTTATTTGGCAGAATATGCAGACCAATAACATTCTTTTTAGTGATGGAAAACTTTATTTGGGTCATAAAATCAAAAGTCTATGAGCCCACTCCTTGGACAGAAGTGGAAACTAACATCCAGGGAAGTGAAATGTCTTGGTCCTGGTCACAAGGCTAACTTGTTTATAATCTAGAATCATAACCCAGGTCTCCTTTTCCCAACATAGATTTGTGTCTACTACCCCCTTCACTTCAAACACTAACCTCTTTCTGTCTCAGGTGCACAGAAACATACACGCCTCCAACCTTCACTGTTTTCTTTTTCCCTTATTTAAAAATCCTCTGAACTCAGAAACCAGCTAAAGTCCCCCTAAACCCTGTAAATAATTACCTGAGCTGTGACACTTGGTGGTGAGCATCCTTGGAAAGATGGTGGTAAAGTCCCTCTGGGGGGTCCAAGAAGTGGCAACCTTGACTAATGTCAGAAACCAACATAAGGATGAGGCTTCTCTGAGAGCAGAGAGCTTGTGTCAGGGGATCAAAAGGGCAGCAGGAAAAAAAATATGAAACACAGCACATGATTGGAAACACATCCTCAACTTCTGAACCTACCGGGATACCTTCGATGAGAATACATCATACACATAAAATGTTTAATGGAGGTAAGTTACAGCCATCATTAGCAGCCTAATTGTTCATCATAATACTAATAGCTGCACTAATGGCCACACTCAGTAAAGTGCTTTGAATAAAGCATTATCTCATTTATGTAGACTTTCAATGGTCTAGAATGTAGGGATCATTGTCCTAATTTTTTTTAACAGAGGAGGAGGTTAGACTTCAACTTGTCTGAGATTATTTAGGTAGTAAGGGGCAAGGCTGGATTTGAATCCAGCTCAATCTGGCCAGAGAGTACATGCTCTATAAATCTTAAAACTCACACACACATGCACAGACACAGTCCAGAGCTTCTCAATGCTGACAGCATACCAGAATCACTTGGCGAACACTATGAAATATCAGTGCTCCGGTTCTGCCTCCAGAGATACCCTTTCCTCTGGTTTGTGGAAAAGGCCACAACATTTGCATCAAAATTTCCCCAGGTGATTCTGAGGAGCAATCAGGGTCTCCAACTATTGGTTTAGGTCTTTCTTCTTATTCCATAGGTCTTGTCAGTAGGCTCAAAACTGATGGAGGGTACTAAACACAGCTGGATGTTACTAGTGGGCCTTGCTAAAGTTTAGGTCCTGGGGCTCCATCCCCAGAGAACATAATTATGGCAGAGCTCAGAGGGAGACTAGTCAGTATATTCAATGTGAACCACAGATGAATCTTATGTGTAAAGAAGGCATGCAAAGGCCCACTCACCTGGTTTGATGACCAACTCTAGGTTAAATTTTTTATCATTCATTAGACCTGGAAATTCTACCCGGCAGCAGTAGGTCCCACCGTCGGCCAGAGTCACCTTCTCTATGGTCAGGGACACATCTCCTTTTTGTAAATGTCCCTTTAGTTGGTATCTGCTGGATTTCTGGTAGTTCACGTGTCTTCCATCAGTGCTAAGCACTGTTTTCTGACAGTGTGACAGTGGACAGGCTCTCCGGCCCCAGCACACAGGCACAAGATTTGCTGAAGAGGTTGGGGAGTAGGAGCAGGGCAAAACGGCATTCTGACCCACCTCCACTGTGTATGCCCCTTCCAAAGACCCTGGGTAAAGAGCAAGGAGAGAAAGATCCAGGCAATGAGTGAAGTGGGGTCCATTTCGGGAAAACAGAGAGCAATGCCTATACAATAAAACGGAAACCATGCTGCTCTCCTATTTGTAGAAGATTCTCTATGGCAGTGATTCTCAGATTAGGCAGGCATCAGAATCACTGGGAGCACAGATTGCTGGGTCTCTGGTAGCGTAGTGCCTAAGGCACTTGACTGCTAACCAGAAGGCTGGTGGTTCAACCCCACCAGCCACTCCTCAGAAGGAAGATGGGGCAGTCTACTTCCATGGTGGTACTGCCTCGGAAACCCAAGGAGAGGTCGCTATGAGTCAAGTCTGACTCGACGGCACATAACAACAACAACAACAATTCCTAGACTTCCTGTTGCAGTTGGTCTAGGGTAGGGCCTGAGAATATGCGATTCTAACAAGTTGCCAGGTGTTGCTGCTTTTGCTGCTGGTCCGAGAATCACACTGACAACCACATGAAAAACTGTGGTCCTATGAACATCAGAGGAAAGGGCTAATAGAAGTAGAGAATCAGAAAATGCATCATTGTTAGCCAGGACAAGATCACCCATCTCAGCTACTGGGCTGTTCAACAAGAAAGCACAGCTATCATCTTTTTATTTCTCAGCCACAGACACACAGTACATAAAAACACTTGGTGGAATAAAAAGCTTGTATATCTGAAACAACAGACTATCTTGAGGTTTAACATTAATTTCTTTTTTTTTTTCTTTTTTAAGTAATACATGAACATGGTAAAATGTTCAACCAGTATAAAAGGTGAATGAACAATGAAAAGTAAGACTTCCTACACTGACTCTTTCCCATTTCTAGTTCCTTTTCTAGAGTCTATATGTTAACAAAGGAGCTCTGGTGGTACAGTGGCTAAAGCACTCAGCTTCTAACCAAAAGGTTTGAATCTACCAGCCAAACCATGGGAGAAGGATGAGGTAGTATGTCTCATAGGGCACTTCAGTTCTGTCCTGTGAGGTCACTATGAGTCAGAATCAACTCAATGGCAGTGGTTTGACCTTTGGGTATACATTAACAACCAGTTGCTTTGACTCGATTCTGACTCATGTATGTAAGAGTGGAATTGATCTCCAAAAAGTTTTCAATGGCTGATTTTTTCAGAAGTGGATCACCACATCTTTCTTCAGAGGCAACTTTGGGAAGACTCAAACCTCCAACGTTTTAGTTAGCAGTGAACATACAAACCATTTGCACCACCTAAAGATTCCTATACATTAACAAGTGTTCATGTACTATTAACACATATAAACAGAAGTCTAATCTATGCATTATTCTGTTCCTTGCTTTTTCCAATTAACATTATAACTTGGAGACATTCTATATCAGTATGTTTGGTCAACCTCACTGTTTATATCATTAATATAAATGTATTTATAGTACAATGCATTCACACTCTTCTTCATTGGTGGACATTTAGGTTGCTTCCAAACTTTTGCAATGATAAACAACATTATGATGACTGTACATACTGATAGCTCTATCTTGCACCTGTTCCACACCATTATTCAGTTTTAACAGTCCATGCCCAACTTACTTGTAAGTAGCAGCAACAGCAGCAGCAGTAACAGGACACAGTTAAAGGAGAGATGTGAAAACATGAGTTCTGCAGAAGAAAGCTCGAGGACAACTTTGTTGACACACAGTCTTAATTCTCCAGTTGAACTGGGTACTTCCTCCAACTATTTCTCTACTCCACGAAATCACAAGAGAAGTTGCCACCTTCTCTGAGGGCCAGCCCAGGATATGATGTTACTTGTCTACTGATGATTTCTATATCAACACTACCAAGACCAAAGTCACTTCAAAGGGAACCCCAGTTCTCTGACGTGCTTTACCACACACATCCTGTAAGGGTTCTGATGGAATCAACAAAGAGGAAGAAATACTTCAGAGGAATGAAAGTGATATTCAGTCATAGCAAATAGAGTGCCATCTAATATCTCAGATGGAATAATCATCTGCCTGAAATGGACTACACTTGGGTCCAGCTGGTTTCCAGGGAGCACAAAGTGCAAACATATCATTCGTGTATTCATCAGTCAAGTCAGTCCATCAATCAGCCATGTGACAAATGTTTATGAAGTCCTGGTGGCACAATGCTTAAGCACTTGGCTGCTAGCAGTTCAAAACTATCAGCTTCTCTGTGGGAGAAAGATGTGGCAGTCCACTTCTGTAAAGATTTCTAGCCCTGAAAACTCTGTGGGAAAGTTCTACTCTGTCCTATAGAGTCACTTACTTGCTATGAGTTGAAGTCAACTTGATGGCAATGGCTGTGGTTTTTTTGGTTTACCATGTGTCAGGCATCGAACTAGAAGGTGGACAATACAGCAATGAGTGATATATTCCTTATCTTCTAGCTTCACATTTCTGGACTCTTTCCACTTTAATCATGAGCCTAAATTCTTATCCTTATTCTAACACAATTTAGATCGTATCATATAACCTTGCTCAGGCCACAGTTTCCCCATTTGTGAAATGAGAAAATTGTTACCTGCGTACAACTTCCTGCTCTGACATCCTGACTTTGACCTGAAGTTTCAAACTCTTCAATTTAGGAAAGACACATTTCTCTTTACAATGTTTCTATTCTCCGACTGTCTTAGGCTGGGTTCTCTCCAGAAGTAAAACCAGTGAAGCTTATTTAGAGAGAAAAAGAAAGATTTACCTCAAGGAAATGGCTCATGCAATTGTAGAGGTTGCAAGTCCCAAGTCAATGGGTTAGAAGACAGACTAGAGGATTCTCCTGACTCCTAACGCTTCAGGGGCTGACAGCTGATCAGCAGGTCAGACAGCAGGCTGCTCGCTTACAGGCTATGGAGGCTGATAAATCCAAGATCAGCAGGTAAGAAGATGGCAAGCTGCTGGCTCACGGGCTGTGGGGGCTAATGAATCCCAACACTAGCAGGCAATATGGCAGGCTACTGGCTCAAGCACCAAGAACCAGAGATCAGATGATGATGAGACAAATGTAGGATACAGAGTGAGCAAGAAGTCATAGAGCTTTGCCAGGATGTCCATGTATATTGGATGCAGGCCACATCCTGAGAAAACTTCCTTTCAACTGATTGGCTGCTGTGGTAGTTATGTTTGTGTGTCAGACTGGCCAGGCCTGGTTGACTGGCTGGGCAGCTGGTGATAGTTATTCCCCATGATGAGACTGGCAATCAACTCCATGGTGGGATCTACCACAAGCAGCTGAGTAGCTGCCTTTGAGATGTGGTCTGCTTCCTGGATATAAGGAGAAGCTTTGAGAATGGTCTCTAGACTATGGCATGCTTGGAGCCCGCATGTACCTGTGTCATTGTTCAGCAGCCTGCCATGCTCTGCCAACCTTGGGACTTACAATGAACTTGAATTAATGGCCTGCCATGTGGTTTGGTAACATTGGGACTATGCCTTTTTACTTATCAAACTTGGGCTTCTCAGCTTCAGCAGCCAGTAGTTATCTGAGTGAAGAAATGCCTCCAGTGGACTGGGAGCAGGAGGCAGAGCTGGACCCCAAGGTTGAGGGGCTCTCCAGCCCCTAGAGCCTGGCACTTTGAACTTGGACTTAAAGCCTCCAAACTGCAAGAGAATAAACTCCATTTGTGGTATATTCTTGTCAGAGCAGCACTAGGTAACCAGAACAGCTGCTCACAGTATATCTCATCATGAAAGTGATAAGATCATTACATAAGAGCAAAACTACATCATAACTGCCAAAACACTGAAAATCATGGCCCTGCCAAGTTGACACACAACCTTAACCATCACACTGACTTTGGTGGAATTGAGGAGACCTCAATACTCTATTTCATATCATGCAAAAGAGATGTCCCCTCACCTCCCACCACAAGGAACTACAGGCATGAATTGTCCGAAAGACTTGAGTTCCAACCACACTATCTATCATTGAGGTATATCACATCTGAATAGCCGCAGGCCTGAGAAAGTGTCTGGCTATCTCAAAGTCGAAGCTTCTTGAAATTTAACAAAGATACAGAATATCTTGATAACACAATCAACCAACCACCTCATAGACATACAAAACACATCATCCAACAGCAGCATAGTACACATTCTTCCCCAATGCACATGGATCATTCTCCAGAATAAAGCACATTTTAGGTCACAAAACAAGCCTCAATAAATTCAAAAGCATCAAAATAATACAAAGCATCTTCTCTGATCATAATGCTATACTGGAAATCAATAACAAAGATTAAGGGGACAAAAATAAACACATGAAACTTGAGAGTTACTGGGTAATAGAAGAAATTTAAAATGAAACTTAAAAATTCTTAGAATCAAATGAGATGAAAATAGAACATACTAAAAACTTTTGGACACAGTTAAAGCTGTATTCGGAATATTAATAGCAATTAATGCACACATCAAAAAAGAATAAAGAGCCAAAATCAATAGCCTAACCCTATAACTCAAACAAATAAAAAAGAAGCTGCAAGAGAGGTCCACAAGCACTAGAAGAAAGGAAAAAATAAGGATTGGAATAGAAATAAATGAAATTGAAAACAGAAAAACAATAGAAAGAATCAACAAGACCAGAAGTTGCTTATTGGACAGGATCAATAAAATTGACAAACCATTGGCCAAGTTGTCAAAGGAAAAACTGAGGAGATGCAAATAACCAAAATTAGAAATGAGACGGAGGACATTACAACAGAACCAATTGAGATACTAAGGATAATGAGAGAATATTATGAAAAATAGTACTCTTTGAAAGCCTAGAAGAAATGGACAAATTTCTAGAAATACCGTATCTACCTAAATTATCAAAACAGAAACAGAAAACCTAAATAGACTTATAACAAAACAAGCAGTTGATGATGATATATATTAAAAAAAAAAAAAAAAAAAAACTCTCAGCCAAAAAAACCCCAGTCCATATGGCTTCACTGGAAAATTCTATCAAACATTCAGAGCAGAGCTAGAACCAATTCTACTCAGACTATTCCACCAAAAACCTAACCAAACTCACTGTCATCAAGTCGGATCCCACTCATAGTTACCCCTTCTTCTTTGGTTTCTGAGGCAGTTTCACTACAGAAGCCCAATCTCCTTCTAAGGAGTGGCTAGTGGGTTTGAACCGCCAGCCTTCTGGTTAGCAATCAAATGCCTTAGGCACTACGCCACCAGAGCTCCCCAGAGTATTCCAGAGGATAGAAAAGGAAAAAATACTTCCTATTTCATTCTATGAAACCAGCATAACCTTGTGTGTTGGTTAAGGTTATGTGTCAACTAGGCTGGCCTGGTTTTGAGTAGTGGGGCAGCCGGATGTAGTTATTCCCCATGATGAGACTGCTAATCAACTCCATGGTAGAATCTACTGTGAGCAGCCTTAGGGATGTGGCCTGTTTCCAGTATATAAGACGAAGCTTTGAGGAAGGTCTCAAGCTTTTGGCACAACTGGATCCTGTATTTGGTCAAGTCTTCATCTTCATAGCCTGTCATGTTGTCTGCTGATCTTGGGACTATTAATGGACTTGAATTAGTGGCTGCATTACTTGATAATCTTGGACTATGCCATTTTAGTTGTCAACCTTGGGTTTTTCAGCCTCAGCAGCCAGTGGCTACCTGAGTTGAGATGCCTCCAGCTTCAGTGGACCAAGAACAAGAGGCAAAGCTGAAGCCCAAGGTTGAGGGCCCTTCACCCAGCCCCTAAAGGTGGTATTTTTAATTGAGACTTCTAGCCTTCTAAACTGTATGAGAATAAATGCCCGTTTGTTAAAGCCACCCACTTGTGGTATTTCTGTTACAGCACCACTAATTCAACTCACTGCTGTCCAGCGGGTTCTGATTCATAGCGACCCCTCCTTGTATTTCTGAGATGCTATCTCTACAGAAGTAACCAAAACATCCTGATACCAAAGCCAGGCAAAGAAAAGAAAATTACAGACCAATACCCCACATGAATATAGATGCAAAAATTCTCAACAAAATTCTAGCCAACAAAGTTCTACAGTGTATCAAAAGTAATACATTATTATCAGGTGGAATTAATGTCAGGGGTGCAAGTGAGGGTAGTTCAACATTAAAAAATAAATCAGTGTAAATCACCACATAGGGAAAACAATCACATAATCATCTGAATCAATGCAGAAAAGGAGGCATTTGATAAAATCCAACACCCATTCCTGATTTAAAAAAAAAAAAAACCACTCTCAGGAAAATAGTAATAGAAGGGAAATTCCTCAACATAATTAAGCACATATATACAAAACCAGCAGCCAACATTATTTTCAATGGAGTGAAATTGAAAGCATTTTCCTTGAGAACAGGAATGATACACGATGATCACCATGATCACCCCTGTTATTCAATATTGTACTGGAAGTCCTAGCCAGAGTAATAAGGCAGGAGGAAATAAAGAGCATCCAAATTGGTAAGGAAGAAGTAAAACTATCCCTATGCACAGACAACTTGATCCTATACATAGAAATTTCCAGGTATTCCACAAGAAATTTACTGGAACTAATAGCAAGTTTTAGTAAACTGGCAGGGTACAAGATTAATGTACAAAAGTCAGTTGGATCTGCACTAACAAGAAGAACTCCAGAAAGGAAACCAAGAAAACAATGCAATTAACAATAGCCTCCCA